TGTGTGCTCCTCTAAAAATGAGAACAGAGCGATGCAGATTATTAGCACGGCACAGCAAGAGCCTTAATAAGCGCACATGTTTTTTGTGCAGTGTCACTGAGTTGTTGTTTTTTTAATCAAACTCATATATTTCTTGTTCCAATGTTTAGAAAGTAATTATAGTTGTTATCAGGCCTGTAAACAGCAACACTTTTCACTGTTTTTAATGACACACAAAAGGCCAGTCAGCATTTCTCTAATCGCTCAGCGTCTTCTTTTTTCAAGACTTTTTTCTTTGCAAGTTTTTTAACACATTCACCGATGAGTCTGTGAGCACATGATGGATTGATTACTCAACATGACAGGTGTCAATCAGAAATGATTAATGTGTTGTAAACAAAGAGGGAGGCAGGATGATCTGGAGCTGAGATTAGAGGAAATTAAAAATGACACACAGGAGGGTGATCTTACTCTGAGGTGGACTCAAACTAAAGGGAAAGTTTGAGATGATTTACACTTAAAGGTGACATGTTATCCTCCTTTTCAACCAGTTTAAATAAGTCTCTGAGCTCCTTAAAACATGTGTGTGAAGTTTCTTGTTCTAAATCCACTCTGATCCTGTATTTGATCATGTCTATAAACCCCTCTATTTCAGCCCTGCTCAGAACAGGCTGTTTCTGTGTCTGTACCTTTAAATATGTAAATGAGTTGTGTCTGACCACGCCCCTCTCTGGAAGGGATTGGGTGTCTCGATCTTTCTCGCTCCATGACCTATTGTTTACGGTGAGAAGCAGACTCAGAGGGCAGAACAAACACCTAGCTGTGGGAGTGTCACCCACCTGGGGGAGGGGTTACTGCCCTTTGTGATGTCATAAAGGGAAAATCTCCAAACAGCCTGTTTGAGCACACATGTTCTGAAAAGTGGAGCAGGCAGAAGACGGAGAGGATGGACTTTTCTCATCATTGGGGGTTTGTAGACAGACTAGAGACACATATTAGTGTTAGGGAAACATGGTGAAATGTGGATGAGCACAGTTGATTGTAGCTGTGAAACTGTAAACAAGGCTCCATCAGAAAAAAACATCTCGCTGCTGAGAATTTTTTTTACTGATTTGATTCAGATTTTGATTCTGTGATTTGCTATCCTGTAGCCACTGACTGTTTCTGACAGAGCAAATCAATCCAAAGCCTCTCCTCCTCTACACTTTGGGCTTCCCTTGCTGTGGAAATCTGCTCTTATTACATCTCACTGAACATTTCTCAGAAATATTGTCATAATTTTGATTTCTCACTGAGCGATGCTGCTTCCCCTTTGGATGTTGAGCAAAACATCTCTCCGTCTTGCAGCACTACAGTAAATACAAAAAAAATGAGTTTCTGTTAGATAACCATAGTTGAGAATCAGTTTTAAAGACTAAATAAATACATTTCCCTTCAGGATACACCTTAGACCCCATGTTAGACCTAGTGTTTCTTTCTGATCGCCAGCATCTTTTTAAAATGTGTTTTCAATGAGGAGAGAGCCGCCTGGAGAAAAAGCGCAGCGCCTCATCGTTTTTTCATAACGCTCTGCCTTTTTTATTTGGCCGCTCCGTGCACTTCCAGTCGACCATCTTTCAACTTTACAGAAAGTTTTACACAAAGTATTTTCTAAATGTATGATATTCCCCATATTTTTCCATCATACAATCAGTGTGTTGTTCCCACATCCTTATCGCTCCATGATTAGGAACAAAATTCTCAAATATAAAACATGCGGTAAAAAACAGAGCAGTGTCGATCATACAGCGGCTGTTGTCAACAGACTGTTGTCATAGAGACAGGACGGACGTGCAGTGCTTTTAAGCTCAGCCCAAAACTTCTTCATGCAAACGCTCCGGAGCGCACAGTGAGCACTTTCTGCCAGGGAAAAAAACGCTAGGCGGACACGGAGCGTTGCATTTTTTATTTTAGAGTAAAATAATTTTTTAGGCAAAGTGGGTTTCATTTTTCTAGTATGATTAAAGATGCAGTACTCCATGCAGACATACACCCAGCCTGACAGCTGGAACAACATTCATCTTTTAAAGCTCTGTAAACTAAAGTTGAGGCTTTAGCCTGATAATAAATGTTCCATTAGTGATGCTTCTGTGTGGGAACCCTTTTGCGTCTCAGTGCACAGCTGTTCAGGCTGAAGCTCCCTGACATGGCTAACAATTAATTTCTGTGTCTGCTTATAAATAAGTCATAAAGAACAAGCAGCAAGTAAAACTCTGTATTCATTAGTCTAACAGAGGAGAGGCTGGAGAGAGAGAGAGAGAGGCTATGGACCTCTGTAGGTCAATGGGAACTCTGTCAATGGCTCCCAAAGGAGTTTCCATTTTAAAGACTTTGACTGTTTAGCTGTTAAAACCATAACAAGTTGTTTTTCCAGCAGAGACTTTAACGTTTTTCAAGCAAACTGAGATTGCCATGTCTGAGGCCTTTAACTCTGCACAGCAGTCATGGTGTCTCAGGGTTCGAATAAAAAGGAACTGGACCCAGGGCAGAAAATGAAGAAAGATTGAAGTAAACAAAAAGACAAAAAAACAACAGAAAACTTACAGCTTCAGGGTTCCTCAGCCTAAACCTGGTCTGCACAATAAATTACATTTGAATCACGATCATTTACAAATAAAAATATTGGTTAACACGCATTATTAGAACTTTATTTGTTCCTGATTGTATAAAAGTCGGGGTGGCATGTCAGCTCACACTGAACGACCCGATTGTCGGGCACGGCCGTAGAGCTCACACTGTACGAGTGAAATTGGGACGGAGCGTTGACAATTGTCAATAAAGTTTCATTTGAAAACTCCAACGAACAGCGGTTGATGAAAGAGAAGGAAGTGGAGGTTGTTGTAGGATATAGTAAAGTTGATACAATCGTAGATATATCGATACAAGTTCAGAAAAGTGCTGCACTGATGATCTGTACCAAAAAAAATTAAAAAATGAAAGAAACGCCGGGTTGCGTCCTGCTGCTGGTCGCCATGACTACAGTCTCCCTTGTCTCGTGTGATCATATTGTAGTCACACAAAACTTCTGCCGGACCCTTTTATGACGTAATCGTCAAGATTTTAAATTCTAAATATCAAACATGTTTGAAATAAATTGGGGAGTCCTTGATCATCGTCAGGCAGATCGGGGCTGTTAAGATTGGATCTTTGTACCGCTCACACTACAAGATAATCCGAACAGAGAATTGGGTCCAGGCAGCCTTGAGTCGGGTGCGACCCTGAGATTGTCAGGAAGGAAGAATCAGAGCTCAAATCAGCCCGATTATCCTGCAGAGTGAGCCAGGCTTCAGAGGGACAAAGGAGTTTACATCCTGAACTGTTATCTTTATGTTTGCACCAGAAGCCTGTAAGAGTGGTTATAACTCAAAAGCAGTCATGCAACTAGTTTGTAGCTGTGTATGCCTGAATGTCTGTGCACTTAAAGGTGAAATGTTTCTAACTGAATTGTATAATGACAGTAAATGCTTTCTATATAATCGTATGGCCTGAAATATGCTGTCCCTTCCCTCTAGGAGGGACAGACTTTATTCCTCTAAAAACAATTGGATTTATAGCTCCTGCTTGGTTCAGAGATACAGACTGTAATAATAAAAACCTTTCTTTTCTAAATGGGACTCCACAAACACGCGAGGCGGCCCCTCTGGCTAACTGACTTCATGCTTCTGCTTTGTCACACTGATGAAACTGCGATTTCTCCTTCAGAAGTCATCATGAGGCAATATGAGTGAAATGTTTTCGGGTCACATGGAGGTTGAGAGCTCTGTTTTATGAGACGCTCTGTGGATGACCTGCGTTATTGGTTATGGTAAACATTAAGAGGCTGTATTATTGTGCAGCTCAGCCTTTTGTAATAGAGCATAATGTGACTGAACCGGTCATACTCTGGTTTGCAGATGCAAGTAAATTACTCAAACTTAAATGCACCTTAAATGTACCTGTTATTGTCAGAGAGGGAGGCTTTGAAGTACTGGTAACAAGGTCAGGAAGAAACCCAAGAGACATTTTTTAAGCCAACTTTGGGCCCCAAATTAAGTTAACTTAAATACTTGTATTGGTCTTGAATGTTTGCATGTTGGCATTGTTGTATTTTCTCTCTTATGTACGGTTGTATAACATTCATGGTGGAATGTCAGCTCACTCTTCAATCAGGACTGATTTTTTCTTGTTTTGAATGTCTTGAAATAAGATGCTAATCTGGACTTTTCAGGTCAAAGTGGTAATGAGACTATAGAAATAAGACAAATACATTTGGTCAGGTTGGATCTGATTCTCCCAGTTGGGCGTGCACAGAAAACGTCCAAAGGGATTTGTCCAGGACGCATCCTAATCAGATGCCCGAACTTCCTCCATTGACTTCTTTCGATGTGGAGGAGCAGCGGCTCTACTCCAAGCTCCCCCCCCCAAATGTCCGAGTCACCTTCTCTCTAAGGCTGAGCCCAGCCACAGAGTTTCAATGGAGGGATTAATATTCCCGTCTGGCCTGGGAGCGTCCCTCTGAATCCCCTAGGAGGATCTGGAAAACGTTGCTGGAGAGAGGGAAGACTGGGCTGACTAACTGCACTTGCTGCCACCGTGATAATCAGAAGAAAATGGATGGATGGATGGATGGAACATGATACTAAATGAAGTCCGTGACTAGTCTGTAAACATCCAACTTGCACAGACGTGTATTGCCCAACAGTCCAAAATGCTAAGCTATACTCACACTTCATATAACACATTCTAGTCTCGATCCCGGCCCCCACAGCACGCCTCTACATTTCGATCCAATCGGACTCTGGAGTTGGCAGAAATAAATAAATAAATGTAACAAAGTGCTGGTCGGTGGCTGAGCATTTCCTCTAACAGCGCCGCAGCACTTTTCCCGGCGTGTGTGAGTGTGGCTTAATCACTTGTAAGACTTGATTGAGTGTGTGTTAATAAACATTAGGCTGTCTCTCTTCCCCTGGTGATTAGTGCTTTATGTGCTCTGCTCTCTGCAGGCTGAAGACGCAGTCCTGAAGATTGATGGAGGGCCATGCTATTCAAACAGCAGGCACTGCTGAGACAGAAGCTCTTCGTTCTGGGCAGCCTCGCTATCGGAAGTGTCCTCTATCTGGTGGCCAGGGTTGGGACCTTGGATAGGTGAGTCCTCACTGTCACAAACTAAAAGAAAACCAAAGTCATGTTTTACAGCTAACCTGTTTGGTTACGTTCAAATGGAACAAATGGAGAGAGGTTAGAACACAGAAAGGTTTACAGACTGATGCAGAGCTGGATAAACACTGAAGCTACAGTGTCCACCACATGATGACCTGTTCGAGCATCAACTCTAGAGAGGAGGGGGCGGGGGGAGACAGCTGTCTCCAATGTTTTGAATTTGGACTGCAGTACCTGTTTTAGGAGTCAGAGTTACATATTGCTCCTTTAACTGCCTGTACCCGGATAAGGTTAACTCAATCCAGTTTTATATATATATATTTATAAAGAAAGTCCAAGCTGTGATATACAGTAAGTAAGATGTGTTTTTTTTTGTCTCTTCCAGGCTTCAGCCCATTTGCCCCATTGAGAGCAGACTGCCCCCTCCTGAGCCGGAGCAGATCCCTCTCCGAACCCTGCAGTTTAAACGTGGCCTGCTCCACGAACTCCGCAAGGGCAATGCTACCAAAGAGCAAATCCGCTTGCACAACCTGGTCCAGCAGCTACCTCGGGCCATCATCATCGGGGTGCGTAAGGGGGGCACGCGAGCCCTGCTGGAGATGCTCAACCTGCACCCGGCCGTGGTCAAGGCCTCGCAGGAGATCCACTTCTTTGACAACGACAAAAACTACGCCCGGGGCATCGACTGGTACCGGGAGAAGATGCCCTTCTCCTTCCCTCATCAGATCACCATTGAGAAGAGCCCTGCCTACTTCATCACAGAGGAGGTCCCTGAACGCATCTTCAAGATGAACTCCTCCATCAAGCTGCTGATCATTGTCCGCGAGCCCACCACCAGAGCCGTGTCCGACTACACGCAAGTCCTGGAGGGCAAGGAGCGCAAGAACAAGACCTACCATAAGTTTGAGAAGCTGGCCATCGACTCCAACACCTGCGAGGTGAACACAAAGTACAAAGCGGTGCGGACCAGCATCTACACCAAACATTTGGAGCGCTGGCTCAAGTACTTTCCCGTGGAGCAGTTCCACATCGTGGACGGGGACCGCCTCATCACGGACCCGCTGCCGGAGCTGCAGCTGGTCGAACGCTTCCTCAACCTCCCCTCGAGGATTAGCCAGTACAACCTGTACTTCAACGCCACCAGAGGATTTTACTGTCTGCGATTTAACATTGTCTTCAACAAGTGCCTGGCAGGCAGCAAGGGCCGCATCCACCCGGAGGTGGACCTGTCAGTGGTGACCAAACTGCAGAAGTTCTTCCACCCCTTCAATCAGAAGTTTTATCAGATCACCGGTAGGACATTCAACTGGCCATGACGACATCTGGACTCCTCCAGTCGGAGTCCATGGTTTGGTGGTGTTGTTTTTTTAAACGCCAAGCTACAAATCTCAGCAGATATTAATAGCACTTTGATTGAATTTAATACAAGAATGACAATGTGACCAAATATAAAAAAGGAACCAGATGTAAGGTTGTTTTTAACGTGTGTAAAACTACAAACAAAACAGTTAACGGTTTGACTAAGAGGGTCACTTTAAAGCACTTGATATTTGAAAATGAATTCACCTGTCTGTCAGTGTTCCCATGAAGAGCTGAGCTGTGTGATTAACTACAGAGATTATTTTTGTCCATCAGACACCAACATTCATGCTGTTAAGAAAAGCTTTAAGTGTGATGCTTTGGTCATGATAAAAGACGACAAAAAAACGACGTTTTATGAATAAAACTGTTCATTTTCTCCCCATTATGTTTCGTAGACCAAAACTGCATGTGCAATCAATACACCATTACAGCGTTGTAGACTCATGTATTAGTAATTTCAGTTGGCTCTTCATTCAGTTACTTTTGAACACGTTTCATTTGAATTCATGCTGAAATTAATCCATTAGATGGTGACCTCCCAAAACCCAATCCTGAAGATCAGAACAGGCTGATTCTGTTTTCAAGCCCGACTCCATTTACAAAAGCTTTAAAGCATTTAAAGACTTGAGCTTGTGTTGTTAATGTAAGTATGTCTTTTCCTTGACACTTAAGGTTTAAGTATACTTGCTTTTGAACCACGCGTATGCACAGACAACTGGCTGCGTCGTGAAAGTAAATGTTTGCATACTTGCCTATGTACAACGCGTGTTAAGCCAGCCACAAATTACACAGTTTGAGGCATAACAACCAGGGGGGCATGGCCGATCGAAGTTGGATCCTCCTTGATCTGGAATCACAAATATCAAACATTTTTAAAATGTACGATTCCTGGTCAGACGGCCTCTGACAGAATACATAAAGCAGCCAATGAGAACAAGCAGACTTGGAAGCGTCACCAACCTGATGTTGCGCACTCTGACAACTCACCCTCAGCTCGCGCTGCAAATCGTATAAAGTGGCACATAATCCGGATTCTTAGCCAGGATTTTACCCGTATTGTTTTTCTCATTTTCCTGCAAAACAGAACACATAGCAGGACAGCTAGCTGACGATGTTGATTGTCCTCCATATTTGTTTTTCTTCTGAAGTCACATTTAATAATGCGAGTTTCTGTGAGATCTCGTGTTTGTCGTCTGCGTTCAGAGGATTATCATATAAAAAATCGGAAATTAAATGAAACTGTCCTTTATGCCTGTGGTCGCCACAAGATTTGAAAATCGTCTCGTGTGTGGCTAACTTTACTGGAGGATTCCTCTGGAGGGAAAACCCACATAAAACAGACTGCGTAAAACGCTGAAGCAGAAATTCTGGATTTGCATGGAGTAATGTTAACGAACATGGTGACATTCAAGGAGGTTTATCCAATGTTCAGGCAGGTAGTTGCGGCCTAGATCTATTACATTTTCTTCAAAACTTTCTGGCATTCTTGTAGCAGCTATCTGGTCTCACATCCAGTCCAATCACCTTACAACCCTACACTGCTCCCAGTGGTTCTTTGCATACTAATTTCGCGGACACACAACCACAGCAGGATACGCGAGGCTGATGTCATGCATTTATAGGCTTGGTTAAAAAGCAAGTATAATCAGGGCTTTACAGCTTCTCATTTCTTTGCAAAACACCGGGCAAAAAGCCATAGTGATGATTGCTGTCAAACTGACTGTTTATTCTATGATGAAATTGTCTGTTTCTGTGCAAATATTCATTCTGTATGATAAGTGTGTTGTTACAAAAGGTGAAATTAAAAGAACATGTAAACACGTGTCATCTGATTTATTGTCTAATTACTTGCTTGCTTGGAGTGAAAGGAGTCATTTAAGGTTTTGGGAAACATCTTAGCTTTGAAACTGAACCCACAAAGGGTTAGGGACTTCCATTTGGAGCCCGAGTTGTTATTTGTTGTGTCACCATCTTGTTTTTTTTAAGCGAGAAGTGATCATATTTGGACAAGAAGGTCATTAACTATTATTGCAACTCTATCCTGGTTGCAGAGGTGCTACATGTCAACATAACAGGTAAGGCAGGAAACTGCTTGGAGCCCTGGGCCAGCAGGGGACAGCAGCGGCTCAAAATGTGCACATTTTGCAATGACAGTAGAAGACCTACCTAAGGGGGCCCCATCTGACAACATTCAATCTAATTGCGCTGCAGAGTTTTATATCTATTATTCCTGTGAAACCTTAATCTTCCAATAAGAGTCACCAAATAAATAAGAATTATACATCTGGGATGGAAAAGGGAGCAGATAATGTCGATTAAATGTGTTTACAGTATATGTATTTGACTTGAAGTTATTTAATTATTATAGAGAAAAAGAGAATACTCTTATTTTAATGTCACATACGCATTTTTAGATCACGGTCATCCTGTGTATATTTACCTGCAATGTGAAGCTACGTGCTAACATTAGCCATGAACCTTTGCTTGAAAAGGAAACCTCGCCTCTGACCTTAATGTCTCTAAAGGAATCAAGTGCATTGCAGGATTACAATGCAATGATTGCCTACCTGCACAAAGGCTGTAAATGATTTAAGCAGTGAGGCAGTCTCACTGGTTGTGGATGATGGAAGTCCAGAATGTGGCAAAGTTGATGCTGACACCTAGTGTTGTGTTGGAGCAGTGCTGTGGAGTCGGTCATTTGTTTTTTTTTTTGGAATAGACAAATGTCTGGGTTTGCACCTGTCCTTCCCTCAGTCATGAATGAATGAAACCAAAAATGCAAATAAGATGATAAAAAACAAACAAAACAAAAGTAACAGTGTCTTAAAAAAAGAGTAGGAAGAACTCAAATTTATATAGGCTATATAATAGGCTTATTCCGGAAATAAGTGCACATTTATGTACAACTAATATACAAACGTATCCACAGTTTGTTTGCCAAATAAAATAAATTAATACCAATCCGAGTGTATTTGTGTACAGAGGAGCTGTTTGTCAACAGGCAAGGCAAGCAGCTACCTGGGGGCCCCTGAGGGCGGACAAGCTTTAAACCAAAGCAGTGGCCAAAAATGTGCAAATTTTGCAATAACAGTAGAAAACTTCCCTCAGGAGGCCCCATCTGACAGCCCTAATGCTCCTTGTCCTGCTAAGCATTGCATGAATGTGGAAAACAACTTTTCTTAATTAAACTTTGCCAAGAAAAATTCAGAGGAATTATCCGTCTATAGGAGAGAGAAAAAGAAACAGGAAAAAAGAGGAAGAGGAGTAAGCGTCGGACAGTGGCAGACATAAAGGTGAGGAACACAGGTTTGAGGGCTCCCCCTTATTGTTTTTTGCATATAGACCCAACAGACAGAATCGCCACATAGGAATACCCCCTCATTTTCTACACTCATGCACTTTAATTTATAGTATCACTGATTGCACATCTCCCTATGTCAATACTGTCCATTTACGACTCTATTTTTGCACATTTACATTTAATCTATTAACCTATTTAAGACTAGTAATGCTTAGTTAAATCCTGGTTGTATACATTTCCATTCATAGTTTTGATATTTTTAGTGCTTATTTACTTTGTATTAATATTATATTGTGTTTAAATTAGCTAACATTGTGTTTTTTGCTAATATTGTGTGTTTGGACAAGCTGCTGCTGTAAGGCCACAATTTCCCAGTTTGGGATCAATAAAGTAATTCTATTATATTATATTCTAAAACAGCTTTTAATCTTCCTTATAGCCTATACGTGTCAAAAAAAATGTAATGTGTAATTCCACCCCAATACTGACCACAATGTGCAGAAACCGCTTATTCATTCACTCATTGTGTATTAGTATTTCCACTTTACTGTCACGGGTCCCAGGGTCAGGGGTCACCTCATAACCCCGCCCCCCGCCCAGCTGCAGACGGTTCCGCCTCCCATTCACCAGCGCGCCGCTCCGTCGTGTTTTCCTGTGTTGATGCCGTCCTCCATCCTCCTCACCTCCATCCTACCATAAGCTCTTTGAAACCAACTCTGTGACAAAGTGCTCCAACCATGGCCTACACGACCGCGGGTGGCACCAAGAAGAAGGTCTGCTACTACTACGACGGTACGGGACATCCGGGTCTGTCTGACATGCTAATGCTAGCCGGTTAGCAGAACTTTGGTCAGGTTAGCTGCTGAATGAACGGTGGTTAGCTTAGCACAAACTAGCTCACGGCTAACACTAGGACGTCGCTTGGATGGCCTTTGCGGTGCGAACTACTGCAACAAAACTGGTTTAAAAACACATTTATGAGCACAAATGAACGCTAACGAAGGTCTAAATATTAACGTGAGATGAAAAGACGTTATTAGCTCGTCATTGTAACGCAGACACTTGTTGTTTGAGCACTAGTTACATCCGGGTCTCCGGCTCTGTGCCACATATTAACATTTGACCTGCAGGAATAATCACAAACAACGACGACATTAACACTTAAATAGACAAAGGTGCAGCTTTAAAGTAACATTTGTAACTATTTAACGCCAAATGTGCTCAAGCCTAACTGATGTAACTTAATGTGTGAGACCCTCCCTCATTAATTGAATAATTGTGAACTCTGCAGGTCGGGTCCATGAGGGCAGAGTTAGTCAGGGTTTATGCTGATCTTGCTGATTTCTAATGAAGCAGTGCCAAAAAGTGTGAATTAATGGCGTCACAATGACCCAGCTTGTTACTTGCTTCTTCTTAAAGAGGTTTATGTAAAGACGTAATACACAAGCAATCATTATGACCACATAACTTACAGGATTGTTTTCAGTTTTTTGGACGCAAGACAATGTTACACAGAATTGAGACAGAAAAGCAGCTGAATTGCCTCTGCAGTCCTGAATATTTACTTTACTGTAAACTATAGCCTGGGCTTTTATTTACTTTGTGTGAAAATGTCTTTTATGGCAGAAGTTTCTCTGCAAACATATTGATGATTTACTGACACTAAATATTATGTCTATCTCCCCCAATAATGAAACGACAGTGCTGATCACTTTTTCAGCAGCTCTGGTTCTGGAAGTAAATTTCCCCGTTCAAATCCTCCACTGATATTTCACAAAATCCTTTTATCAAGAGATTGAAACCTGTAACCAAGACAACCAGCTACTAGGAGTGGGAATCACCAGAGTCCCCACGATACGATGTTATCACGATACTCGAGACACGATACCATTCTGTTGCGATTTTAAACCTTTTGTGATATGCTGAGAATTGCGATACAATATATTACGATGTAGCTTTTTAACTGCATGTTATGTCCACAACACTAAATCAAGAACTGCTTTGTCAAATAAGAAAGAATTGCAGTCTATTCATCTCACGTCAGTCTTTTTATTTTTACACAAGGGTTAAAAAAAAAAAGAGGGGTTGAAGGGTTTTGAGGATTTCTGTCCTCAGAAGGATCCAGTTGTATCTGGGCTGAGAGCTACAGACGGGGGAGGGGAGTCAGGATAAATTGGGAGATGATGCACTCACATCATGTTGGTGTGGCTGTTATTAACGGGAAGTGTTGACATCACTGAGAGTATATATAGAAAGAAACTTGTTGTTAAAGGTACTTACCCTATGAGTGTAATAAAACGTTGAATTATTGAGATACTTAAATCTGTGACATACTTGATGCATCTTATAGTTGAGGTGCACAGTCAGTGGAGAGAACCCCTCGAAAAACCTCTTAAAGGCTGCTTTTTCTGATATTTCTGTCTTTAATTACCTTTTTTGAGGACATGCAAGTGCTCAGTAACTCAGTCTGTAGGGACTTGGGAACTAAATCAAGGACCAAGTCTGGAAGTTAGTCTGGTTGCTGTAGAGGTGCCAGTTCACTTCCCCCTCACTCTGACATCTCTCCATCAGTGCATGTCCACAGGATCCTGTGTGTGTGTGTGTGTCTCAGCCTGTGTGTGTGTGTAGCATGTCTCAGTAACAGAGGGTAATTTCCCCTGGTTGGATTAATAACGTTAGGAAGAAGATCCCAGACATTTCTGTTTTTGTAAAGTATTATTTATTTCTCTCCCTGGACAGCATATCCTTACAGGTGATTAAAATTTATCAGGACTTATCTCACTTGTCAGCTTTAAAGGTTTTTTTTGTCACAGTAGTAAATAGTAGTAGTATCTATTCTTCTTACTATGGAGGACATGATGCACACACACACACACACACACACACACACACACTTCTGCTTGTGACTCATTCTTTAATAGTGCATGTTTTTCTTTGCAGGTGACATCGGAAATTACTACTATGGACAAGGACATCCCATGAAACCACATCGTATCAGGATGACTCACAACCTGCTGCTGAACTATGGACTCTACAGGAAAATGGAGATCTATGTATGTTCTTAACCTCTTAATGATTACATCACCTCCTTTAATCCCCGCTGCGTGTGAGCTGTGAGCACAAACGTAGCTCTAGATGTCTCCTCCAGTTTTCCTTTCAACTCTTTTTTTTCGTCATGTGTTTCAGAGACCACACAAAGCCACTGCAGAGGAGATGACCAAATACCACAGTGATGACTACATCAAGTTTCTGCGATCAATCCGGCCAGA